TTGACTGATGTCGGTTATCAATTGAAGATGAGCGTAATATTTAATCCTTTGACAACATTATGAACAATCAGTCATCATTATGAGTGTGATAAACTAAGACAAGAAAGATAACCCCGAAAAATAAAGATATCTACGCCTGTTAGTGGGAGTAATGTCATGACTATTTACCAATCTCAGCATTGGTGATCATAATTTTCACATATATATGATAGATTTTTTTTTGTGTGTGTTTTGATCCACAATTTTAATCGTTATAAGCATGTTGAACTACTGTCTACAAAAATTATTATTCTGAAACAAAAGAAATACCTGTATATTCAAAACTGTAATTTCTCAGAGGAAGAGAGATTTTGTCTGAAAAATAATTATCTTTCTAAACAGTGTTTCACATCATTTGAACTTTTCACCGAGGTTAACTTTGTAATTAGAAGAATTCTGACTGCGCAAACGAGAACTTGATACCATGAGGCATTAAATAGAAATGATTGCCGATTTCTTCTGCTTGTTTTATAATTTAATTTTTCGGATCATAGAGCAGACAATAGTAAAATATTAGGAATACTAAAAATTGCCATTTAGATAGTTTTGTTAATTGCATATGTTTTATTTCAAAAGGTACTGAGAATTTATTAAAGACTTACCTAAATCTTAGGGCTTAATATGCACTCTTTATAGGTCGTTGTCCAACTTAATTCACTATATAACAACTACCAATAATATATTTAAAGGTTGAAGGTGCTTTTTTCGTCCAAGGAAACTATGAGACAAAGGTATGGGAATGGTTAACCCAAAGACATCTTTAGGCAACTTGATATAAAGCATTCTTTTTTAAGTGACACTTATGTATAACAGATGTCTTTCCATTTTGCAGGTGTAATTACTCAATATTTATTAGATCGGTATTCTGATTGATTTTCTGTTTAAATTATAACGAAAATTCACCTAGTCACCGAGTCACCTACTTCCAATTATCTGCTGGAGAAGAATAAAATGTTTTATTACAAATTAAAAAAAAAAAAATAATTCACTCTAATAACGGACTGAATTGAATTACTTTTGAAAGACATTCAGTGAGTTCTTGCTGTGATGTTACGATTGGTTTTGTAGTTAAGGACTCTCTTTTAGAAAAAGGAGAACAATTACACGTTCATTAAATAATACTTTTCAGTAACATGTTGATTGCAGTATAAGTAAAAAAACAGACTATCAATAGGAAAACAAACATTTTAGACATATACTGACAAGCAAAATAGACATTCAACATTGAACTCAACACATATTTATTTGCAAACAAGGTCACTGTAACGACCATTGGATTTTGCGAAATGTTCGCTTTAAACAAGATTGTTGATATCCTTGTATCATCAGTGAAATGGCGAAAATAACAATGATCCACAAAAAAAATAAATAAAAAGAATACAAATCTGTAAACAGGACATCTAACACAGACGCCCCAAAATTCCAGAAGTAGGATCAGGTGTCTGGGAAAAAGTAAGCATCCCCTGTAGACCAGTCAAACCCGCCCAAAACCTGTGTATTGATCAACTAGACGGAACAATCCGTGGTCAAATTAAGTATAAAAACAAAGGCCCAGCAATTGTTATATAATACGTCAGCCAAAATACGATCAAATGCAAGGTTTTTTTTTTTTTTTTTTTTTTTTTTTTTTGCTAACAGGGTAATTATAACGATCAATGAATTCACAAAATGCTGGTTTTAATCGAGTTTGTTGAAATTCTTGTAACATAAACTACAGTAGATTCATGTTCTTCGCAAGTACTTATTATCACGAAATGGTTCTTTAATGTCAAATCGCGAGAACAAAAAAATCGAGAGTGGACGGTTGATCAAGGGAATTTACTAGGATTTTAGCACCATAAAAATAAAAGCGTGTAATTTTATTTTGCGCTATAATTAATTCCCCGCGAATCTACAGTATCTGTCGGTATCCTGCCTTGGTTGCATGCTCTGGAGTATCGAGTAAGGTGGGAGACGTAATCATCATATGCAGGTGATAGCGGAATATTACTACATAAATAAGGAAAATTGACGATGGAAAAGCTGAAGTCATCCCGTTTGCCATACAATTTCGTTCTTTGTTGGCCCTTATCTTATATACTCAGTAAAACACTCAAACATGAAAACGTATGTGGCAGACTCTGTGGTGTCTTTAAGTTCAAGTTCACCGGGATATATCGAGTCGACATGTGAATAGAAGTGGATGACATATTTGTCAATTATCTGTCTCGTTTTAGAAATTGTTTGTAAGTAGAACATACTCTTTCGTATCTAACTAGCTGGTAGACATAAACTCCACATGTATGTGATAATAGTATATTGCAACATAATTAACGGAAGTTGACGATAGAATAATCGAAGTCATTACGATTATCATAAAGTTTACTTGTCTGTTTGCCATCAATGTCTTTCTCTAACAATCAAAACATGAAACAGATATGAAGACTCCGTGGTGTCTTTTACTTCAAGTTCAATGGGATACATGAAATCAATGTAGGAAGAAAGCGGAATATTGTTAATTGTTAAAACGTCGTCGATATAGCTAAATGTCGAATTGAATGCCATAGCAAGAGAATTTTTTTCTTTCATGTACTCTGTTTTTAACGGATTCTGTTTCATATGAATACAAAATCAGGTCTTTTAAAAACGGGGCTAAATCGGTACCCTGGGGATTTCTAACAGAAAAAACATGGTCTCCGAAAAACAGACAGATTTTGCCAATGACATACTCAAGCATAAATTCACCTTAAAATGTGTGTATACTCAGGATTTTTTTACAATATTATACCGCGGGTGTCCGTGACAAAATATGCAAATTTACGATTTCAATTTTTATTGAATAAGCAGTTGAATATGATGTCAAAAAAATCTAGTAATAAAATTGTAGGAAATGGTTTTATGAAGTGTGAAAAGTCATACAACTGACTTTGGTAAAATTATCATATGTGATGTCAAATTTTCTAAATATTCTTTGGAGCTTTTAGTAACCACATCTGGTCCCGGGATCATGAAACATATAAAGCTTATGTTAAAATCTTTATTTTATGCTCAAATTTTGTTGAAGTCAAGCAGATCAAAATTGAAATACTTTTTTTTTTCAATATTGCATCAACAAAGTGTTGTTTTCTGCAAAGTAAGATATTATATCAATAATTAATAAACATTTTACTGGTTATTGAAACTTTGAATTAAGACGAAGTCGGTTTCATAATCCTGGAACCTGATCAACACCAGTTTTCGAATATGTTTTTGTAGAATGCAATGCTTCATTTGTAATTAAGATCCGATATGGAGAGCATTGCATCGAGATTGCATTCATTATTTTACCTGCCCTCAGCAGTTGAGAAAAAGTAGTTTTGGATTAGATTAGATCCTTTTAGAGAGCTTTTATGTTTCGTAAAACCAGCAATTTAAGCCACTTGCCATTTTTTGCTTTGATTTATCAATTTCTTAAAATTTAAAGTAGAAACAAATTTTGATTGTGTTGCACTGCACGTTTTCTAACACTCACTCGAATAATTTATCTTGTATGACCATTATCTTATAACCGTGTACTAATTATGCACTATTAGACCATTATGACGTAACTAGTAAGATAAGTAGACTTAAATATTATCAGTCTTTGATAATGTATTTTATTGAAATTGTGTTTCAAAAACTCTGCTTTGCTTGGTTAGGTGATCAAAAAATCGTAAGCCCAACTAGTTTATAACATTTGCTATTTATAGACATTTCAAATATATTAATCTTTAGTAGTCTGTAAAAAAGCTATCTATATTTGTCCCATTGTGATTCACTTCCTAAATCCTATTTAAAATTCACCTTCCCTGAGCTATGAGTTACATAACTCACTTCTTGCTAAAAGCCTTACAAAAGATGATAAAATAAATATACAAATTTGTTGTATATTAAATTTATGGATATGCATTCATATAAAATCTAATTCATGTTTGAATTGCTTTTTCAGATATAATTTTTTTAAATTCAAGTCATCGAGCGACAAGTTCATTATTCTAATCCAATTTAATTCCTCGTGATCCCGTACTGCTTTAGGAAATTTTATCGACCTGAAGTTCTATTTCTCATCCTTGTATTGTTTGCAGATGACTCCGACATTTTGATATCGAGTCATTCTTTCCTGAAGCATTTACCCCCTATAGTTTTTTCATTACCGAGAACAAAACATGAATTCTGAAATGCACACAAAACTAATTTTATTTTCAGATCAAGAAGACTTAATAAAATGAATCACACAAAGCAGGGTTAGAGCAGATTTCAGAACAGACATGCTAGGATTCGTCGTTGCATGAAATCTACTCACAATGCAGTGTATTACCATCTTAACATTAACATCTAAATAATTCTTTCATGGATGGATTCAAGAAGCTAGATAAAATCTCGACGAAGTGCAAGATTTATGTGCAAGGATATATCAAATTAACACAACTCAATAGAATATACTATTGTAAATTTTCTGAATTTCTTTTTGTTAATTCATCAATTATTTTTTGTTGGTCAATAAATACATATAAAGATACACGGAGGAAAATCGTGGTCTTCATTTATCATTTTACTATTTTTATATATTTCATCACATGTTCAAAACTTCATGGTATAGTTCTAAGCACTGTATTTTCGTTGTTGTCATTTCTCCATCTTTCATTAATTGGGCCAATTATTTATCGAACCAAAAACTGAATTCATGTTATCATAGGAATTAAATACATGAAAAAAATATAGCTAATGCATTACCAGGCATCATCCGGTGCATATCATATCAGATATGATTATTTTGCAGAGAGGCAATGGCTTCTAGCCATTGAACCAAAACACATGAATAGCTAGGTGATGTTAAGCGTATAACAACAAGGATCAAAGTGCTAGTGTATGGCAAAAAAGGACAACATAAGGCTCTCAAAGAATATCCTTGCTTTTAAAAGAATCCAACTTGGTAAAGATTTCCAAAATTAGGTTGTGAAAAAATGGCCTGTGATTTGCTTACTGTTCTGTGGACAACAGTACCTCTGTTCTGGATGGTTTTAACGGCCAATGGACATTCACAATTTTGTCAACTCTACGATGAAACTAGCGAACTTTTGACTTCGACAATTACTTTGTCAACTTCAGAATGCAGCTTTAATTGTGGAACCACTCCAACTTGTTCGAAATTTAGTGTTTGCAAAAATATGCATTCAGAGAACTGTACGGAGTATATGACGGTTTCTAAAACTAGCTGCGGACATTCAGTGTCAAATGTCGTTTGTATACTTTATACCAAGGTAATTAGGAATTTTACTTTCATTTTTAAAAAAAATTATAAATATTTGCAAACAGAAGCTGTATAGTTAAGGTGTGCAATATAAATGAGTAAATTTGTAAACAGGCATTTAATTCGACAAGCTATGCATTAAAGAAACTCAACAGAAAGAAAAGAATCTTGTTGATAGTAAAAAGTATAAGAGCTATTAAATTCAAACTATATTTTTAAAAACGTTGTTAATAGAATGCTTTCCATAAACGCACTTATTTTAGCGATAGCCATATTTTAACGACGTTCGCACTGTTTCGTATCTGTTAATTTGAATTTACGCTAATACATATTATTAAACACTGTCAGATACTTAAAGTAACTTCACTCCAAATGCGCCTGAGTTTTTATATATTCAAATTGCCAGGCCACGAAGCTCTTGTATACATTGTTACCTTTGCATTTAATTGACGCTTGCATCCAGTACCATTTCACAAAATTATGATCTGTTCGCCCTCAAATTTTGAAATATCCTGGATTTCGGTACATATTCTCCTAGACCTGTAAGATAAGGGTTATCTTGAGAATCTTTAATTATCTAAATTTGAATTTTGTTACAGACAGACACACACAGACAGCTAGACAAATGAACAGACAGACAGACAAACAATATTAGAAAGAACACAATTTTTGAAAGAAGGAAATATGCATTTGCTCGTTAATATTTTATAAATATATATGAAAAGTACGTGTATCGCATCCCACCATCTAGTAATGTGATATTATTTCGCTGTACAGGGAAAGGACACAGAATCTCAACCGACAACTGTACAGACAACATCTACCATTGTTGAATCAACATCTGAAATTCAAACCACAAAGAGTACCACTGAATCAACAACTGAGAACCCAACGACTGCTATTACAACAACCACAACAGAAAGTACAACAGCAACACAACCAACAACAACTCAATCAACAACAACAACATCTACATCAGCAACAACAACAACCTCAGCAACGACAACTACAACAGCAACGACAACTACAGAGGACCCAATGTGTGCTGCTTTTCCAGAATTATGTCAGTAAATTTAGATTTCCATGTGTGAAATTGTTAAAACGCAACCAGAAATACAGCAAAGACCATATGGACACCTGTGTTTAAATTAAATAGTGTCGTTGAGAGATATTTTTGAATGGTTAACGTGGATAACTGAAGTCTTACATGTTAACGCTGTACAAACAAAAACTGTTAATAAATTAAACAAACGTGTTTGTGTTTCTTGTACAACCCTTATCACTATTGCAGAAGTATGCGATGTTAATAACCATGTTAAATATGTTTAGGATAACAGTTATACCCCCAAGCAACTGAAAAAAAATCATTAGAGTGAGCTGTTTGTTGACAATAAGGAATATTTTCCCAGTAATACTATGTACATGTATTCGGGATGCTTAAGAAAATACAGAAACTATTTGACGCTGTTTTTTACTTTTGTTGGATACTTGAAATTCTTACCCAAGCAACACAATGGTAGGTTCCTTTATGTACCCAAACTTTTATTGCCCTCTGAACATGTACATATGAATTTAATATATAACGTTTTGTTCAGAAAAAAACTGGCCGAAAAACCTGAATGAATTGTAGTCCTAATTTTTTATCAATCCTTTCAATTTATGAAATAGAAATTTCAGCTGATATAATATCTATTCTAATATAACTGGTTGTAAATATACTTTTTCTTACTGTTTCTGGAATTAGTCTAATTATCTAGAAAGCAAGATCGTACACAGATTCTAATATCAAATATCCTGGATGCATGAAGTATTAAAAATGATGTGAAAATGAGTCTCTGCACCAAATTCCCTATCTTATCTGCTTGAGTTTACATGATCCGCTGACATAGATAAAATGGTTTGACATTGAATATAGGACTTTATGCGAAGATGTATCGAAATTATTCATTCTGAATACATCAAGAATAATGTGATGGTGTGAATATCTTTTTATCCCCATATTTTCAACAAATAGTTTAAAGGTTTTGAGACACAGGATCAAAGATGCTTAATTATGTCCACTCTGGGGAGAATTCAATTTAGAAAAAGTATTTCCTTGTGGATAACATTGTTACCTGCAATAGTCGTCACACTGTGGATAGATGTCTCGTTTGTTTGATGTATGTTCTATCTTTAAAAAAAAAACTGACAAATTTTGACAACTAAAGCTATAACCATCAGCAGATGGTGTTTTATATGTGAATCCACATCTAGATGCTGTACTTTCTCTTTCAGAAAAATGAACAATTTTCAATAAAACTTTTTACATTGTAAATGTCTATGTCCTCAAATACCACAACAGAGGTCTCGCCATCCACCATCAAAACGAAAGTTTCGGCATCGCTGGTGGGAAAATATAACTTTGAAAGGAAGCAACAAAATTTTCATCAATGACGTCATTTCCTGTATGTGGTAGAATTTTGCCTGGATTATGTCAGAATGACCTATAAAGAAATAAGCAGACATTATATACATATATATTATTTTTAGCTTTCTCTGTATATAAGGTGATTCATAGTTTGATAAATCTTCAAAATTTGAAAGGAGATGTCTTATTCTATTCCTTACAGAGAATTGTTAATACGATATCATCAAATCCTTTCTTTGCCACACCATCAACAGTTTCATTATTCCATAAGTTTTATTTAAGGTCACGGCAAGCGAAAATAGATATTGCTTGTTTTTGATTTTCTATTTTCATCCAACTAATTTCAATATATTCAAAAATATCTCAATTTATCAAATATATTAGGTATTTCTTTATATTCCCTTTCGATATTATATAAATATTGAAATTGAAATGGTAACATATTTTTTTTTAAAGAAAAAAAAAGAATATTCCACTTTTTTTTTGCTTGAGTTACATGTAATCCTTTTATTGTCTCTCTAACATACAGTGATAATCATTTGAATATATTTATTTAAGAATGAGTAAAATGATAACTTCCGTATTTGTCAAGGAACTCTTGATCCAAATAATCAGGGGAAAACGAAATGTGGACGTACAGTATTTCCATAATCTCGACTTAAATCATGTTTGGCGCAGCATTTGTTCAGCTCCCATGTTTTTGTTTTTATTTTAATATCAAATTTTGCATAACCGTTGGCTAAAAGACAACGATGAAATAAGCATATCTGTATGATTTGAAATCTTAATGTGAAAGTTAAATTTTGATAAGCAAGCCACTTCTCTCAAAAAGGAAGAATCTATATATGAATTTTGAAATATACTGGGGGAAAATCGAACTTATTATTTAATCAAAACATCACAGAGGTTCAAAATTTGAAAATATGATAAGATGTCTTTTATTATATTAATGAGACTTTGCATCGATTTTCACCGGTAATTGAATACCCTAATAGCTACTGAGGCTTTCTGATTACCCATTAATGTGTGATAAGTACCATGGATTCATCTTTTGCCCATTTATTTGATAAATTCACAATCATTTCACTCTAGTGTGTTATCTCCCATTATTGATCGACATTCTCCTATGTTAGAGGTACAATTGGTCTATGATCTCTAGAACGAGAAGTAAAATTGATCTGTAGCTGAAGAGGTAATTGATCCTATGATTAGTGTGTCAGCTTAACACATCTGTTTAAGAGATGTCACGCCAGCTATTCCTATCAATTGGGCCCTTATATTCTCTCTAAAGTTTATAGCAATTTTATATTATAGCCTCTTTTTATATCTCTCTGTAATAATATAATTGGGTTAAGCAGATTATAGGCACATAGTATTTGATCATAGAAATCATCAGTGCATTTTTTTTAAAGTTGGTATAAGTTTGAAGTTGCTTTAAAAATAAATTTCTGATGTAATTATGTACTTCTCCCACATAGATTAATGTTGTTCAGGTGAGTAAAAGAAAGAAAGAGGGACTAAAAGATGTCAGGGGATATGACACATAGATTATAAAGATAACGTTTTCAAATACATGTTTCACAAGAATGATGATATCCATTCAAGTAAATATAATTTCCAAGTTCTAGTTGAGGATTTCAGACGTACAAATGTCATTGCGATAGTATGGTACAAGGAATTCTACAAGGTCCCGAGCTCGTTTAACCCTTAACTCCCGGATCTGCCGAAGGAGATTATATCACGTGGTAATTCCAGCCAATAAGACCTCTAGAACTCAGTTGAATGGGTTGCAGTCTACGCAGGTGAGTTAAGGCTATATATAGGCATTTTTATGCAAATAATGTAATTAAAATGCCAAAGGACTATATCTATTATACAGACAAAGTTAAAATTTATTGTCTAATACATCCTTGGTACCCACGACATGAGATAGCCAGTACACATCATGACGTCATATTATGACGTCATTGTTCTGTACTACACAAGATTATAATGTATATCAACAAAAATGCTTCGGCGCAAGGGCATGCTCTATTTTATTTAACTGAAACAGGGCATATTTAGAAGCAAAATATTCCAAAGTTTGCTGGTATTGCTGCACAAATATCAGCAGCTCAGTTGTATAATTTCTATTTGTAATGTTTTAAGTTGAATAAGGGTAAAAATGTACAGTCCGGTATAAGTTTCCTCACATTCCGATCAAATGAGAAAATGCCTAGGATTTGTGCAGCAGTTTTATTAATCTATAGAATATTCTCCTTAGCATTATACAATTTTTATGTAAAAATAAATAGGGTAATCCCTTGCGCCGAAGCTGTTTTGTTGATGTGTTTTATTACCTCCAGTAGGTAAGATCAGTGACGTCATAATACGACGCCATAATGTGTACTGGCTATAACATATCATGGGTACTAAGTATGCATAAGAAAATAAATCAACACTTTCTCTGAATAATAAGTATACCTCTTATGCGTTTTTATTAGCTCATTTGCATAGAAACACCTATACCCAGCCTTAACTCACATGCGTAGACGTCAAATCGACAGGAAGATCTCTGGAGAGGGGATAAATGTGCATAAGTCAATATTGTTTAACAAATTGCGGAAAAGTTCCTTTTGTAAGTTGTCTGTGTGAGCGTCGCAAAATCTGATATTGACAGTTTACCTGAATACACAAGCAACCAGTCGAAGGGTAGTGTTAGTAATGTAGTTGTTTGGACGCTTGGTGAAGCAGCTTCCAATTTACCATGGTAGAGGTGCTGTTGAACTAAATAAAAAGAAGCGTTTGATTCCATATGTTAATAATGTGCCAGGGTGATTTTGACTACATATATAGTACTGATATTGTATCTTGAGTCAGAATGCTTAAGTAAAATAATATTTAAGCCATACACGCTATATATATAAGCGGTTTTTTTTGTTTGTTTTTCTTTTTTTTTTTTTTTTGGTGAAACAAAATGATTAAGTGATATGAGATCTAAATCAATTAAGCAAAATCTGCAATTAGGAATTGCTGCCTTTTCATGAATATTGATAAGGGAAGTGCGTAAACAATCTAAACATGCATGTCTGCGGGAAATAATAGAAGAGGCATGTTGCATTTTGAGTAGGATTATGAAAAACTTGAGGTTAAATATCTGTCATTAAAGTGCAGATGGTTAATACTGGTTGCTTCAATAAGTTTCATTAAGAGTAAAATGTTTTCCATTCCCCTCCAAGTTAATATTGTGTACCAAACAATCTACATCGTTTTCTCATTTTTTGTTTATCGATCTAAAAGTAGTGACGGTGTCACCTCATACATTAATTCAAATAGAGACATTTCTTTCCTAGTAGAAGGATAAGTAATTATAATTAGACATTTTTATAACACTTTCGATTTCAATAGTGTAATTTATACATTAGCATTTTTCGTAATTTATTTAGTAATAAAAATAAATAAATTCCCAACTTATTTCTAACTGACATAAATAATAGCGTGTATAACTTTAAACGGAGCATCAATAATAAAAGGAGTCTTATATATATGGTTTTCAAGAAGTAATTGCACTTTTATGTTACTTTACTCTAAACAATATAATTAATCTAGAAATACGTGGAGATGCAATGATTATAGAGTTGAAACAGTAATAATTAAATGCTTCTTCAAAGAATTCTTTGCCAAGATTAAATGACTCTTAACTAGCTCTTATTAAGGAGAATGGATATAATTTCTATGAATCTCCTCTCTATTTTACAATGTGCCGTAAAGGGATATCTTCGTCTATTAAAAAAGGACTAAAGGATTTTTCAGTTTAACTAAATAAATATTGTT